TTCGTTGAATAGTATTTGAGAGTTTGTTCAGTCGGTCTGTCTGTCTGTTTGTCTGCGTGTGTGTTTGTGCGTAAGATATATAATACGAGAGAGCGGACATTACTGGGCCGCTTGCGCGAATTGAGAATCGCCAAATTGCGTCCAAACAAATAGCCACATTCATTTGAGACGACTCAACTGTGTGTGTCTGGTCTTTGTGGCTCAAATCACGCTCCGGCAATCTGCACCAAAATGACAACTTGTCAAACAGTAATTGTGTTTGCTCGCCGTCTAATCGAATCTATAGATTTTGCCGGCCTTCAGATGCTTGTGATGGCTCCCTTCCACCACCACCACCACCTCGACCAAGGCACTCTCCGGCGTGTCAGCCACGACTGATGTCTGTCTGCGACTCACTTTGGAACAGTGCAGCTGCTCCAGTGTGCTCCTGTGCTCTCTCTCTGAGCAACCCCAGCAAGGCATCCCTTTTTCATTAGCACTGTTTTCAGTGAGGGTGAGAGTGCCCTGAGCGCGCACTGGTCAAACTGAATCAAACTGACTGACGCAATGAATGGCAAATCGATGTCGATTTCTCCCAAAGTGATCTCTGCTGGCTTCACTCACTCTATCCTCTTTATTTAGTGGTATGCATCCCTTTCGTCGCATCCATCTCATCTCTTCGTCTTTCCTGTCGGGCGCGTGGTTTCACTGTCTTTTGTCCCCGGGGATGACTGTCAATAAGGTGGCAGTGGTGGCCGTGGGGGCCTTGTGTGCGGCCCTAGTGTCTGTCTTCAGCGACAGTCTCATTCAAATTGAGTTAGTGAAAGTGTACACTTGCCAGTGGGCGCCCAAATCGACCAGTGGTTAGTCGATGCGTGCTCGCCTCACTGCCCACTGTAAACAAAGGAGTCAGCACAAATTGGCGAAGAGGCAAGAAGAAAATGGTTCCAGCGTGATGCGACCGCCGTCGCCGCCGCATCACTGCCATCACTGCCGAGATCATTGCTCCTTAGGGCAGATTCTCCGCTGGAAAAGAGAGATCGCAAAGGAAAGAAAGAGAGAGAATTCGCTTCTGCTGGTGGCAGTCTTTCCCGCTATATATTCCCCTGTTCTAGGCAAATACCGGCGTAAGCAAAATTGATTGCACTGCCTGCGTTGGGCGCCAAATCGCCGGTCAGAGTTGAAAGATGCTGCTGTGCGACGCATGACAACTGCAGTGCCATCAACGCCGATGCCCCTAAGATCAGAGTCGTCGACCAGTGGTAAGAGTGTGTGTGGAAAGAGTACCACTGCTGTTGGCCGTGGTAGCCACCGTTGCCATCGCCGCTGTCGTCTGCTGCCGCTGTCGAGTGTTTGACAGCTTTGAAGAAAGTTGATGCTACTGCCGCTGCTGCTGCTGCTGTTAATGGCGAAGAGGCACCGGATCGAAGCAACTGTGTCCGTTGTAGTGGTAGGAGCACAGAGAGGAAGGCGCCATCGCCATTGATTGCACTGCTGCACTGTCTCGGCCAGCACCGGCCACATAGCACAGCACTGAACAGGACCACCACCATCACCACCACCACCATCAGCAGTGGTACCCTTCACCTTCGACGCTTTGCTAGTGGTAGCAGCCGAAGAGTGCTTCGAGAGGCTCGAGGCGCCAGACTGAACGACAGCAGCCTATTCAGCCATCCTCTTTCTCTTTCTCTTTCTTTCTCTCACTGTGACTGGCTTTCACTACTGCTATTTGCAAAGATTGGCTTTATGTTTTCATGCAAACAGAGAGCCTGTGTGTATGAGTGTGTGTGCTGAACTGACGCCAAACAGCTACGGATGGACACAATCACAATCACTTCCTCACTGTGCTGGCGCATTGCTGCCCGTCAAATGTCAATCATCAAAGTGCTGCTTACCTACCTTTAGTTATCTCTATTCAATTGCTGCTTATCTACTAAACCGGCAATTCACTCGGGCCTAATTATCTTCTCAGTGACCAGTGATGACCACGATGATCACGTTTTATACGAGGATCATTTTGGAAGCCGTCCCCAGTTTAAAGTATTGCCCATTGCCGTCACAAGTTGTAGTAGCCTGCCATTCTTCAATCGTCAGTCCCCGCTGCAATGGTCTCCACTTGCATTCGCACTGAGCCGGTGATGAGGAGCTCTGGTCGCTGTCCACTGTTGCTGCGCTCGGTTTCGTCAGCCGCAAAATGACCACTTCCGCCAACGGTTATCATTTTTGCCGCCGCCGGTGTGCGAGCACAGGTGTCCCCTCCAGAGTGGTCATCTCCACCTGGACACATCTTTTTCACCAGCCCTTTCTAAGTTCACGCTTTCTAGTAAATGTTCTCTGTGTTTGCTTACTTCTCACTGCGACCACCGCAATCACCACCAGCACCAGCAGAAACAGCACTACCACTGAGGCTAAAGAGTTGTCCAACGACTCTCTGACCGACGCGGAAATACTCCCCACCAGGAATGCTTTCACAACCAAGTCCACTCCCCTCATCACCCCTTCACTCGATGGTCTGTCTTTGTTGATGTGTCTGCATTGTGATAACTGCAGTAGCAACAGTAGTCACTTATTCACTAGTCCTTGAGCACTTCCCCCTTTCCTCGACTCATCACCGGCACTCATTTTTGTAGTCACATTGAGGACTTCTCGTTAACTTTCTCTTCATTTCTCCTTTATCACAGACTCCTCCGACACTACTTCAAGTACAAACGATATAGACGACGACGCTGTTAGTCAGCCCCCATCTGCCAGCGACAAACTTCCGGCAGGCACTGAGAACAGCAAGCCCACTTCACTATCACCAGCAACCACTAAATTATGGCTAAACGTGAGTGTGACGCCGTCAAACTTGGTAGCCAACTGCACCGACGTAGAGTTTCGCTGTGAAGTGCTCGGCCTTGACAGTGAGGTCGACAGCAGCAGCAGTGAAGGCAGCAGAGCACCTCCCTCCACTGCCTGGTGGACCTTCAGGGGCGCCAACGTGTCGGCGGTGACGCTGCCCGGAGGACGGGTCACAAATCCCAACGCCACTCTGTCCATCCTCAACGTGGACTGCAGCCAGTACACACTTCACGATGGCGACTACATGTGCCACACGGCACTGGCTGACCTGGAGACCAGCAACCAACTGGCGCCAGTGCTCACCAGTGCCAACATTTCACTGGACATCTACGGTAAGCCTTATCTCTTGGGTATTTCTTTTTGACACACTTCTCACTCTCATACTATCACCCTTCTCCAGTTCCCCTGACTGTAGATGCAATTGAGCCGGCAAACGGCACCGTTCGCGAGCTGGAGGACACTGAAGCTCAACTAAAGTGTCGCATATACGCACACCCCAAGCCAAAGATTACCTGGGAGCGCATAGATCTAAACACACTAACCGTGTCCAACATTGAGGAGGACGGACGCATTCTCATTGAAATTCAATCCAGTCATCAGGAATCTCAAAAGTCGACCTTTCCTAGTCAAGTGACAGTACTCGAAAGTGTGCTCAAGTTTAAGCCTCTCATCACAGGCGNGATAGATCTAAACACACTAACCGTGTCCAACATTGAGGAGGACGGACGCATTCTCATTGAAACTCAATCCAGTCATCAGGAATCTCAGAAGTCGACCTTTCCTAATCAAGTGACAGTACTCGAAAGTGTGCTCAAGTTTAAGCCTCTCATCACAGGCGACAATGGAAGCTACATCTGCAAGGCTGACAGTGCCATTCCTTTTGAGAAGCCACTGCTCACCAACTTTCACGTTTGGGTGCTGGAAATTCCGCAGGTGAAAATTATCAAGATCAATGAAAACAAAACCGAAGCCATTCTCACCTTCACCGTTGACTACGGAAATCTGCCCGTTGAGAAGTACTTTCTTGAAATTAGGAATTTTACAATTGCCAACTCCTCTTGGATAGCGCACAATGTGCAGGCCAACTCGGTGACCATTGAGGGAGCCAACTCGGTAGCTCGCGTAGATGGGCTCACGCCGGGCGCTCTTTATGGGTTCCGTTTGGCGGCCAAAAACGAGGTGGGCACTTCAGAGTGGAGCTACATGAACATTACCGTGCCTCCTGATGGTAATTACAGTTGACCAGCATTTTTTAGGGTTCGACTAACATCTTCCTACTGCTTCATATAGTTCCTTCTGTGATAACTCAGCTTCACCTGCTGTCCAAGAGCGACACTTCGCTGTTGTTTGGTTGGCGTCGACCACAGTACGACAACGGNGCTCGGTGACCATTGAGGGAGCCAATTCGGTAGCTCGCGTTGATGGGCTTACGCCGGGCGCTCTCTATGGGTTCCGTTTGGCGGCCAAAAACGAGGTGGGCACTTCAGAGTGGAGCTACATGAACATTACCGTGCCTCCTGATGGTAATTACAGTTGACCAGCATTTTTTAGGGTTCGACTAACATCTTCCTACTGCTTCATATAGTTCCTTCTGTGATAACTCAGCTTCACCTGCTGTCCAAGAGCGACACTTCGCTGTTGTTTGGTTGGCGTCGACCACAGTACGACAACGGTGGCATCATTCACCAGTACCAGATGAGCTTGAGAGACCTTTCTGCAGACACGAGCGCCAATCAGACGTTGGACATTAACCAGAATCTGGTGCAGTCACGAAACAACTACATGTACAGTGAGTAGAGACACAAGCCGATTGGCAATGCCTACCCAAAGACACACTAACAATAACAAAACCACCTTTACAAACTTGTGTTGCAGTGTTTCCCAACCTGTCCCCGGGTTCGCATTACAGCTTTCAGGTGCGCGCCTGTTCCAACATTGGCTGCAGTGCCCAGTGGTCCTCGGTCCTCGACGCGGTCACCTCTGACGGCCACTCCGACCCGCCGCTCAACATTCACTTTGAGTGCAACTTTGACTTTCGCCGACTGCAGAACAATGCGACCATCAGGTGGGAGCCGCCGAAGAATGCACGCGGCTCCATCGTCGGCTACAACATCACCCTGGAGGGCTTCTCGCAGTACCGAAATGTGCACAACCGACCAGTGCTCGACCAGTTTCGTCAGTTTCACGTGACCAGCGACGCCGACACGCACTACCACATTGAGAAACTGAGACCGAACGCCAACTTCACCGTGCGCATCTGCGTGATCAACAAGTCGGGTTGCGGACAGCTGTCGCACATCACCTCCTCCTCCATGTGCATCACCGCACCCACGGTGCCCTCAGAGTTTCCAGCGCTCAAGTTTGAGGCGCACAAGGCGACACTGTCGGCAGGGCACGGCCTCGTCTTCAACCCCAGTCGACAGTTGTCGCTTTTTGTGCCCAGAGTTTCGGAAAAGAATGGCCGAATCGCTTGTTACCGGATAATCGTTTGCCGCCTGCCGCCGGTGCCGCAGTCGGTGGAGAGGAACAACTCACTGGACACCAGCGAGCGACTGCGTCTGTACGACCAGTACCTGGCCAATGGGCCGGACAGCGTCCAACTGAGCACTTACCGACAGGTGACTGACGGGCGGAAAGACCTGCCCGGAGCGTACATTGCCAAGGAGTTCGCCTCGGATAGCCTTCGCAGTGACATTGTCATTGGCGACGGCAAATCAGAGCGCTGCTTCGATGACGCAACCGAGTATGACCTGCGATCACGCGTCAAGGTGGGCCCCTTTGCGGCAGAGGACAGTCGGTCGCCGCGACGGATCAGCTACGACCTGCCCAGCGAGATCAAGAACAGTGACTCGTTCAATGACTCGGCGCTGTACCCGCCGTACTCGAGGAGTCTGGTGGAGGACGGAGAGCTGGTGCCGAACACTACATACACGGGCTTTGTTGAGGTGACCGTCCTTATTCCCTGGAGTGCCACCAACAGGACTCTGCTCGTCGCGCGAAGTCCATTTGTGGAGCCCATTCAGACGGAGC